GCAAACAAATCATCAGGGGCCGCGCGAAAGCTAACTTTTCACAAGTTCTTTTTATATTCCAGTGGGCTATTTTTCAAGGGGAATTGCAAACTTCGTTTCAAAAGATTTAAGGTTTAATTAAGTTGCGTTTTTAAGAGTGAACAGCAGTGCTTTCTGAAGACGTCAAGTAGCAGTCAGTTATAGACAAAATGCAACCTGTTACATGAAGGGCACATCCCATGATATTTGAGGAGTTTCGACCCATTCCTCGTTTACGAGGAAATCACTTATTGTCCATAGCTCAGGTTAAGCCTTGTATCATTCACTGTTTTACTGGCAAAAAAAGGAGAAAATTATTTGCGGTGCAATTAATAACCAGAGAACGTTTAGTTTAGTTGTTTTAGTGTGCGTGCGGATTAACAATTTGAAAGATGCTACTCCAAACAAACTGACGAACTGACGTTTACGCGTAACTCCAGGGTTTTCTTACAAAGTACAAGGGAACGTTGACACGGACCTCTGAAACTCCAGGGTCCAAAGGAAACCTCATATGGTTTCCTTAAAGAGACTACCCGTGTTCCCATAATCTCCTATGGTCATTTATTCGTTTTCTATAATTTTTAGTCAACATTGCTTTACATTATTAGCTTGATTTTACCCGTTGAACCAAAACAAAGTTCAGCTTTGATAAGTCGTAATTTCACGCAAGATTACCTTAAGTCTTTGATTCTACAGGTGGCTGTTATAATTTGCTAAAGAAGCGAGAACAGCTTCAGGGTTTTGCCGTGGAGAGTTTACATTGTAGACATTGTAAGGCAAAGATTTAAAAGCGTAACGATGATACCGAGTAAGGAAGCCAAAAAGGCGAGAAGCCATATTGTCCGTCTTATTCACTTGTTCTTTCAAATATATGAAGCACGGTCGAGTAGTTTTGCATGAACAAGAAATTGCGTATATAATTCTACGCATCAGTGACGCAAGATCTCCTACACTCCAGTCGTCCTACTTAAACAAACCCTGCTTTGTTCGCTAGTCCCTGATAGCTTACAATCTTGAGATGGCACCTAATCTGGTTTAATCTGTGCGAGCTGCAGGGAACGGCTAAATTACTGAACTTTAATCTACATTTCGTGAGAGCTGTTTAAAATTTTGAGCTTGGTTGATGAAAACGCAGGACACTCAAAGAGAACGCATTTCAGCGGAGATTCCTCGTATGACCTCAGCTGCCTTGTATAAGCGTTTGTGGGCCGAGCATTCATCCAAGCAAGTTCACACTTGTTTTCTTCCAAGAGTTGATTAGGTTGAAACAGTCGTTGCACTCTCCCTTACGATGCGTGTGCTGAATAAGAACAGCGGTCCCACTTCCACTCGCGGAGAACTAAGCCCGAATTTCTCCTTGANCTGTAATTTTTGACAATCTCTTCTTGTGTGAAATAAAAATTCTGGTTTCCTACGACAAAAATACCAATCCAACACCTTTCAGGTTTATCTTCTCAGTTTTATCGAGCCCACTAGCAACTTTAGAAAAGCATTGGCCAGATTCGAGAAATTCGTCGAGGTCCAAAATGCAAATGAGGCTGTCTAGAAAAGCTTTCAAAGCAATTCTCTGCTGAAAAGTTAAATAAAAAAGTCGTTAGAAGGCACAATTACAAACCTCTTTACTCAGTTGCCAGGTTTGGTCAAAACCGCACCAGTCGTTCAGCTTTTGGACAAAATGACTTCAGCGTTGCTACTGAAGGGGTATAGTTCGCAATGGGATCGACGAACGATACGGTCGCTTGAGTGATTACTTCTCGTCCCGTTAAGGGATTAGCCGAATTCAATTATCTTCGAGGGTGAATCCCCGTATGTTGTTATGTTTCAATAATGGTACTTTTCATTGGCAAGGAAATTTGAATTTCTAAATATTATCTCGTTACTTGGTATTACGCGTTTGAAATGATTATCTTTTCAATGCGTAGGCTTTTCCGATAAGCCAAAAAAAAAGAAAGAAAGAAATATATGTAGACAAGTTTTACTCCATTTACAAAGCACGACATGAAGTACTGTTGTTCTTCATCTGCATGGAAAAAAAAGAAAAAAAAAAAGAAAGCAGCAACAACAACCTTGGTTGGTAATCAATTTTCGTGAAATCATGATATCAGTAGATCGGGATAAATTCTTACTTTTACTTCCGTAGAACCTAAAATAACTTATTTGTTTGTAAACACTCTCTACTTGGTATTGTGCTGTATAAAAAATATATATATCTTTACGTTTTGGTGTATTGCGTGCAGGAACTGAATTATGCACTCCTTGCATTGACTCATTTAATGTTTGTCTCCCTATGCCAAATCATTAATTTGTCTTGCATTTGGCATAATTTTCTTTTTTCTGACAGTGACATTGTACATAACAATACAATGGTGTTATTTAGGTCATCTCAGGGAAAGCTTGGAAAACAGAGTTCTCCCATTGGGCGACTCCTATGTCACATAGTTGACATCAAATGGATTAGAATTTATAGTCCTTAGTCTGTTAACTCAGAGCATATGGTAAATTATTTTCTTTTTGACCCAATTTGAGGATGGTATCGTTTTAGCAGCTTGCGTTACTGCTAGCACAGAAAGGGGACCGGGAGCGAGTGAAAAACTTGATTGTGGAAGGAAGGGCTAACTCACGGGAGTGGAGTGGGGATTTAGTATTTAAGGTTGAGCAAGGGTTCAGTATTTTAGGGTTAGTTTAGTATCGTGAGCCTAGCTCAGGATTAAGCAGACAATTAGGTTAGGTTAGGGTTAGTTTTCTGGTTACTGTTAGGGTTAGCCCTAAAATATTGTAAGGTTCATTCTTGCTGGTCGTGGACGGAGCGGTGGCATAATGATTAGCGTGCTAGACTCTGCATCGAGCGGTCCAAGTTGTAACCCTGGTCGAGATCAGTCAGCTAGGTTAGGTTAGGGTTAAGTTTTGGGTTACTGTTAGAGCTAGCTTATGTTAAGCGCGCGGGACTCCGGATCGAGCGGTCTTGTCTCTAGCCCTGGCCTGGGACATTGCGTTGTGTTCTTGGGCAAGACACTTTACTCTCACATTCTCACTCTCCGTCCAGGTGTATAAATGGGTAAAGGCGAATTTAATGCGACACCCTGGCTTCTGTAAACCAGCTCTATCAGTCCCTCCCCATTCAGACAGAAACGACAAAGATGGGCTAATTTTTAATGTTATTTTATTGTCATTCCACTAAACGCACAAAAATCTCTCGCCATCGGGTGATCGCCAGTGTACGTGGAAAACCAGGCTTATCTGTTTTCTGTTTTCCTTGTACGTTGTAGCCGTGGCTGTAATAGATGACATTTAATAGTCTTACGAATGAAACAAGCCGTATAACCCTGAACGTACAGAGCCATTGTTTCTTTCATAAAACAGGGTCAGCACTATGGCTCTGAAACTGCGCCATACAATTTGGCTCACTTAACAAAATAACGTAAAATGACCAAATCTTGGATGTTTATGGAAGACATTTTTCATGTTTCTTGGTATGTTCTGACGAGCAGAGGCCAACTTACTTGATATCGATAATCAAGATATGCTTTCAAGCTTTTTATAGATATGTTACCTATGTAGTTCTCCAACGGACGATGTAACCACGCATGTTGCGTGGACGTTTTCGTGGAGGGTGAAACTGTGTGTAAAGCCGCTCAGGCTGTCACGTGACTAAACTCCGCATCACAGAATTGGCTATTCCTAGACCCTCCTGGTATATACGAAACCGGAAGTGATCTAAAAATAACTGGAGAGGGATTAGTCTAGGAATGAGGCCTAAATGGAGTATGCTCTGTTACTCTTTATCTTCTCTTTTCGTTTATTGTCACATTGTCTTTCGTATTGCGTGACAGGCTGCATTATATGGACTTCAGCCTGTATTAAATTACTGGAAGTAACAGAACCCAAATGGTTTGGTATCTTATTACAAAATAAACAAACAAACAAACAAAAACCAAACAAACTAATAAGCAAACAAACAAACAAAAAATTTGAGATGAAAACTCAACTCTTTAAATTCGCAAATTTAAGTGAAGCGAAATTATGCTCTTGAAAAATCAAGAAACTCTGTTGTAGCAATTCAATTCAATTTTAATTTAAACTGCTCACAAACATTAATTTTTACAGAGGTGTCAGGCAAAATACAATACATATAATTGTTATACAAATTACATATAGAACATGATAAATAGCATTAATGAAGTAGTGAAGATATCAAGGAAAAATTTTGTCTTTCTGCGCTCACTGGCATCAATAATTTCTTTTTCATCTATACATGTACTACTGTTTCCATAATACAATCAAAAGTGCTCATATCCAGTCCAGAAACGGGACAAAAGCAACTAGCAAACGATGAACATGTGCTTGATACTTTTGCCCATTTCTTTACCAGAAATAACTGTATGTACAAAAAGATTTCCCAGTTACGTTTCTCCGATTATTTCGATCGATCCTTACACAAGTTATAAAAGACACTCCTGGTTATTTAACTTCAACTAAACATGGAAAGAGTAATTAACATCTAATTTTTCGTTAAAACGTCTCTGTTAGCACGTGGGTAATGAGAATAAACAAACCGATCTGCCAGGGTAAAGATGTCAATAGAAGTGAATTCTCGCGAATTCTAATGAGAGAAGTGAATATGGACTACGAAGAAGAACTTTTAGGATTAAAGATCTCACTTAACGACAAATGAAATAGAGTTGATAAGCGTTAGATCTTCGTGGATAAAATAAAATAATGGACCTTCATGGAAACGTAAACTATTAACTTTCCCTTAACTTACCTCGTCAAGTTTGCTGGCTACGTTGTACTCACAAATTGTGAACGATCTGCTCCCAAAGCCATTTTCGTTAAAAAAGAAAGTTTGAAAACAATAAAACGGGGATTCTTTCTCGAGGAAACGAACGGCCTGAAAGATCGTCGCTGTCCTAGATATGTATAGCAACGAAACGGTTCCTTCAAGAACGCGGCTCTTTGTCACAGGCAATCTCATCTTTCATCTTGGAAGGTGACTTTTCATTTCCAAATTATAATGAGGATTTCTAGCTGTGGTTAAATGTTATGTAGGCCACAAAACTTAACTCTAAATGTATTACTACTTCGAAAAGGAATGCTGGATTAGTTCCCGGGAGATGAGGTAACCAAAACAAACCGTTACGGTTTGATAAATATCGCGCTCTGATTGGTCAAATATCGAGTTATTACCCGCAGATGCCGGTATTATGAGGTAATAAGTGCTACAGGGGTGATTTTTGGGAGTTTATGTAATCTAACGTACTCAACTGGATCGACTTGATCCGCGCTATTAGTTTAAGTCAATGAAAGACAGCAGCTTTCAATTTCGTGAATGAGTGCTTGTTCGAGCTTAACAAGTGTGAAGAAATGTCAAGTGTAGAGCTATTTGTCTATATTTTTTTTCGCGAGCAAACAAATCATCAGGGGCCGCGCGAAAGCTAACTTTTCACAAGTTCTTTTTATATTCCAGTGGGCTATTTTTCAAGGGGAATTGCAAACTTCGTTTCAAAAGATTTAAGGTTTAATTAAGTTGCGTTTTTAAGAGTGAACAGCAGTGCTTTCTGAAGACGTCAAGTAGCAGTCAGTTATAGACAAAATGCAACCTGTTACATGAAGGGCACATCCCATGATATTTGAGGAGTTTCGACCCATTCCTCGTTTACGAGGAAATCACTTATTGTCCATAGCTCAGGTTAAGCCTTGTATCATTCACTGTTTTACTGGCAAAAAAAGGAGAAAATTATTTGCGGTGCAATTAATAACCAGAGAACGTTTAGTTTAGTTGTTTTAGTGTGCGTGCGGATTAACAATTTGAAAGATGCTACTCCAAACAAACTGACGAACTGACGTTTACGCGTAACTCCAGGGTTTTCTTACAAAGTACAAGGGAACGTTGACACGGACCTCTGAAACTCCAGGGTCCAAAGGAAACCTCATATGGTTTCCTTAAAGAGACTACCCGTGTTCCCATAATCTCCTATGGTCATTTATTCGTTTTCTATAATTTTTAGTCAACATTGCTTTACATTATTAGCTTGATTTTACCCGTTGAACCAAAACAAAGTTCAGCTTTGATAAGTCGTAATTTCACGCAAGATTACCTTAAGTCTTTGATTCTACAGGTGGCTGTTATAATTTGCTAAAGAAGCGAGAACAGCTTCAGGGTTTTGCCGTGGAGAGTTTACATTGTAGACATTGTAAGGCAAAGATTTAAAAGCGTAACGATGATACCGAGTAAGGAAGCCAAAAAGGCGAGAAGCCATATTGTCCGTCTTATTCACTTGTTCTTTCAAATATATGAAGCACGGTCGAGTAGTTTTGCATGAACAAGAAATTGCGTATATAATTCTACGCATCAGTGACGCAAGATCTCCTACACTCCAGTCGTCCTACTTAAACAAACCCTGCTTTGTTCGCTAGTCCCTGATAGCTTACAATCTTGAGATGGCACCTAATCTGGTTTAATCTGTGCGAGCTGCAGGGAACGGCTAAATTACTGAACTTTAATCTACATTTCGTGAGAGCTGTTTAAAATTTTGAGCTTGGTTGATGAAAACGCAGGACACTCAAAGAGAACGCATTTCAGCGGAGATTCCTCGTATGACCTCAGCTGCCTTGTATAAGCGTTTGTGGGCCGAGCATTCATCCAAGCAAGTTCACACTTGTTTTCTTCCAAGAGTTGATTAGGTTGAAACAGTCGTTGCACTCTCCCTTACGATGCGTGTGCTGAATAAGAACAGCGGTCCCACTTCCACTCGCGGAGAACTAAGCCCGAATTTCTCCTTGAGAGCTTTCCAGGAGCTGTTCAAAGCTCGACGGTATTTCGGCATTCGCCACGCGTACACAAAGGGGTTTAATGCCGAGTTTAAAAATACGAAACGTGAAGTTATCACATCAACTTTGTGAAACGTTGTCGAATCTTCGCTAATTTCACAAGAGCTGCAATAGCGAGCCACGTGAATCATGATAAACTGTGGAAGATACGTGATGTAAAAGATTGCCAATATAATAATTACAGTGACCGCCATATTTCGCTCCCGTTCCAAGGCGCGCTTGTTGTTTTCATCGGAAGCGTGATCATTAAGTTGGAGTTCGCGTCTTCGTCTTGCTAAAGCGCGAAAACTCTTCGCGTAGATAACCATCAGAAACAACGCTGGCAGCGAAATGTGGGTGTGGATGTAAATGAGCAAATAGGTCTTTTCAGGTACCTTTGTTGCAGGAAGAAAACATATCAAGGCTGATAACAGCCATATCACAATAATAAATACGTATGCCCTTTTCTTCGTGATCTTCGTTTTGTATTGCATGGGACTGTCGATGGCGACAAAACAAGTCACTGACAACGCTACCATTGTAGCACTACTGACAAACAGTGTCGTGCAGAGAACATAAGAAACAAAAATTCCCACACTCAGTGGTAAAGGCACTTGTTGCAGAAGTGATCGATACACATCTCTGAACGCCACAAGAGACACAACGCATAGTCCAACAAGAAAATCTGACGATGCTAAATTAGCGATCAACAAACAAGGCGGCGTACGAAGCGACTTTTGCGGGTCCCTGTAAATTGTAGCCATCACGATAAAGTTGGCGACTGTCATAACTGTGCACAGAGCAAAACCAACTATAGCTAAAACTAGCCAAAAAACTCGCTCATCTATAAGCCGTAGATAAATATCAGGCCCCTGATCGTAAGTTGAATTTTGCATCGTCGCGGCTACGGGTAGAACTGTGTAATCAGTCTTTCAGCAAGAAACTATGTACACCAATATTCCTCCATTTTTAAACAATGCACAGCAACGGGTTGATCCTGCCGTGTACTAATAATAGTTTGGTGTTTTGGTGACCAATAGCAGAGCAATATAGTCCTATTTTTTAAAACAATGTCGTTTTTCCGGGGACTCATTAAACTCAAAAGGACAAACTTCTCAGAAGGGGTGTAGTAGATAAAACTAGACCAATTCACTTACTTCAATAGACACTGAATTTTTTAAAAAAATGAATACATATTTATCTCCCTAAAAATTACAGCTTTGGCTGTTTCTAGTCATTCGAGGTGAATTAATTATTCAGTGTAGTGTCATGAACATAATAATAAAGTGTTATTTCTCAGTTTCTAGATTATGCTCTTGTTTAGGAAACCGAGTGGAACACCACAGCTTAATTAGGTCCGATATTAATATTTTACTGCCTTTTAACTTCACGTAAACTGACCAAATTTATCAATATGAGGTATCACATTCATCTACCATTTAACGTTCTGTTTGTTGTCATGTTTTAGAAACGATAGAAAGCTAAACAACTAATTCCGTGACAAACAAATCACACGCGTCGAAAAGTTTTGATATCGACTCTCAACAAGCGACAATCGCTTTTAATATTCCTTTCATGCACTCATTAGCACGAATCTTTATGTCATTCCGACCTCGCTAATCTTAGTGGACGTTGCAGCCGGACATTATGAAGCATCGCTTCAATGAAACTCATGAAAACCTATCCGAAGCAGATAACCTTCTCTCCAATATTAAATCAAAGATTTTAAATATTAATTTTTATGCTTCATGTTTCCATGTTTCGAACTTGGTCATGTTTTGAGAATATTCACTCACGTTTCCTTTATTGGAACAAAAGAAAGTGGTTACGTAAGAAAAGAACTGAACTCCTAGGGGATTGGTTTGTTACAATAACATGGCCGCGGTTTCTTCGTTTTGTAACACCAATATGGTTGCCATGACGTCATGTGCCTACGCTCCATAGCGAGTACGGGTGTGACCGTAGCCTGTGAACACAGACGTATTTCCGGCTGTCGTTTGTCTCCGTCGAAAATATGCGACAGCCGGATATACGTCTGCGTTCGCAGGCTAGTGTGACCGAGGCGTGACCGGTAATTTTTTAACTCAAAACGTTCTCAGGGGGGAGGGGAAGGGGGGAGGGGAAGG